TGACTAATGGGATGGTAAAAATGAAAAGTTCAAACAAAATAAAAATTATCATTTTGGGGAAAATGTTTGATAGGGGGTGAGAGTATGTATGTTGGCTCTAGGTTTAAGGAAATAGGCAACCCTTCCTCCTACTTAATATTTAATTTTCATAGTGGGTTCTCCTTTAATTATTCATTCCCCACTAGTACCAGGCTAAACCCTTTACATATGTCAACATGTATTGTTCTAATCCTCACAATACTTTTGCAAGGTAAGTATTGCTCATTTATTTGTTTGAGCAACAAATATTTTTGTGTCAAGTGGTTGTTTAAGAGCCTGGCTGTGAACTAGGTGAAGGGAATACAACAGTGAAGAAGCAATTTAATTCCCCTGCCGATATAAAGTATTTTCCACTGTCAGATTGGAAAGACACAGATCACTAGAATGCCTTGTGATGTTCTTGTTCGCTCTCCAGGAGTGTCTCAATTCATGCAAATATTTTGAAGAGCAACGGTCATGCCTTTTGTCCTAGTCATCTCATTTAAGAACCGTTTATATAGCAATGTCTGCACACGGTTGAAAAGATATTTGGCAAGAATGGTAATTGCAGATTTAGCAGCATAATGTTGAAAAAGCTCATTTTCAAGAGAATGGCTAAATCATTATGTTACTTACACACACTGGAATGTTAAACAGCATTAAAATGAATAAAGTAGATCTATACATTTTGACATGAGTGTGTGATTTATTGTTAGTGATAAAAGCATGATGTACAAAAAATCTTTATAATAGGAACACTTTGCTTTAATAATAATAAAGCAAATGAAAAAAAAAGAAAAATTCTACAGCAGTCACACTAGATTCTTAGCTGTGGTCCCCTTTAGGCAGAAAGTGGGAGAGGTAGGAAGGAGGCATCCCACTTTTTGTGCATTACTATATTTCAGGTTGACAAAGTTAACATGAGTTCTTTTGAAATATTTTAAAGAGCCAATACATTTTTATTTTAAATAAGGTGCTAGGGCAGACTTACATCCAGGGTGCTATGGGGACGCAAAGGGGACACAGACTGGGGTGAGGACAGTCAGAGAAGGCCTCCTGGAGGCATGAGCAGCTTTGCTGGGTGAGAATGTACATGTCCACCGTGTGGAGGGACACAGAGGGCACAAGGGCTTCCTGCGTGGGGCACCTGGGAGGCTTTCCCTGTAGGCAGACTTGGAGCTGGCCACCTCCAGTGCTGTGACGGCTGCCCAGCTTGTGCTGGGCTCTTCTTCCTCCCTCGGCCCTCACAGAGCACCAGCCGCTGCTATTCCTGAAGACTTCTCCCTTTCCTGCCTCTTACCTGTCTCTCCTGGTGCTGTGTGAGTTCAGACTCCACATCTCACTGGGATGATTGAGAAAACCTCCTAGCTGGTTTCCTGGCTCCTTCTCTATACCCGGTGTCCTCCTTCCCTAGTCTGTCCTTCACTTTGCTGAGTGATATTTAAAAATGCAGTAGACCTTGTCATCTCCCTGCCTAAACTTTCTCAACGGTCTCTCATGGCTTCTGGGATATGACGCGGTCTCCTAGAGCAGGTGTGCCGAAGCCTGTGCCCACCTCTGCCCCGTGCCTCACCTAGTAGCTCTTGTTTATGTTTTGCAGAATTATTTTCATTTCTTTTGCAAATGCTACTCTTCTTATCCACCAAGGAATGGACATGGGTAAAGAAAGAAAATTCATGATATGCACCTTAGTACAGTTGATTGTTGGCCTATTAACTTACATACATTCTTGCTGGTTACTTCTCTTTCTGGAAGTTAATGTACCTCAAAATTTCATATTATTTTAGGTAACAATTTAGAAATTGCCACATTGCAGGGAAAATGGTCTTTTTAGCGTCTTTGATGTTTTCTTTTGTAAATGTTCTTGAATGGGTGTTTTCAATGGCAGGTCAGAGAATGGATGTTTTCAATGGCAGGTCAGAGTATCCACAGACAGGATTTTAGAATCTAGCATTATTTTGTATACTGGTCTATTCCAAATCTGGATGCACTCTTCTTTAATAGAATACACATTGTTCTAAAAACACCACATTGACTAAACAGACTTTATTTGTTTTGGCTAAACTTAGAGTTAATGGATGGACTCCATGTACGATAAGATAGACACAGTTAGATAAACCGAGTGGTAGTTCTCAGGCTCACTTTAAGATACACTACATTCTATCCTTCCATCTCCCTCGTCTACTGAATTTTTATCTTTGTTATTTTTTGTTATTGAATATAATTAGGAATTGTTATCCTTGTTAAATAAATAATAGGAGTTGGTTTCAGCTTGTTGGTTTTCAGAAATATTTGTATTTATAAACATTCAAGAAAGGACTAAACTAATATACTATCATTTGGCTCCCTCTGGTGGACACATGTATGAAAAATTAAGCTATGCATTTTTTTATTTTTTATTTTTTTCTGGGAGGAGAAACAGGTAGGGGACATGTTGTGGTTGTTCTGGTTATTGGGAAAAGGAATAGAAAATACATTCTTATTTTGTAGATACCAGATGTATCATAATTATTAGGGAAAATATCCCCAAGGAATAAAATGCATTGTTATTAAAATTCAACATAGAATAGCAATAATAAAAGACATAGCAATAGTACTGCTATTGCTGTTTTTCTTGTGATTAAGAAGTGACAGTGCTGGGACCACAGTGTTGAATAGAATCAGAGGCAGATTTCACCCTATGACTTTATAACTGTGCTACGTCAGGATAAGGTGCATGCTAAATTTAAACAGTCTGGTTTATTGAAGAGTCTAAATACTACTGAATTAATTGTCTCGGAACCTCCCCAAAGCTAGACTTTTAACTCAATGATGCATAAGATTAGAATGTAAACAAGTGATTTTTTTAAGCCAGTTTATTTTGATAAATGTGATAGTATTTGTTAATTCATGTCTTCTGAATTTATGAACTCATCAAAAATGCTTTACTTTATTATGGGGAACGAACTGACAACAAGTTTTACCCAAATGGTTGTATATGCTTTGCTATCAGATGATGAACATAGTTAACCAGTAAGAAATTGCGTAAAGTCTTTCAGCTGAATTTTATCATTTTCTCTTCTCTTCTTTCTTTTTCTTTTTCTCTCTTTTCTTTTTTTTTTTTTTTTTTTGTCCTAGGGTCATAGCAGAGGGCTAGAGTTAGAATGTAGAATTTGGGGGGTTAGTAATTCAGCTATTATAGTCACCATTTTCCTTGCTCCTTTCTGGAACCATCCTGAAGAGTTCTACTCCCTTCTCTCTTTTGTTTATGAAACTTAAAAACTTTTTAAAAGATTTTTAGATGACAAATAGTTTATCCTGTGCAACATGTTGTCTTGAAATAGGTATACATTGTGGAATGGCTAAATTGATCTAATTAACATATACATTATCTCACATACTCTTTTTGTGGTAAGAACATTTAAAATATACTCTTTGCCATTTTGAAGAATATAATACATTGTTATTATCTGTAGGCACCATGTAATTTAATTCAATTAAGTTTTATTTTTGTATAACTTTATTTTATATAATGATAAAAGTTCACATTTACTGAGTTGAGCATATGATGGGCATTATATCATTTAATTCTTTCAATAACTCCATTAGGCAGTTAGCTGTTATCTGCATTTTACAGAGATTAGTAAGGGTGAGTATAGCTGAAAACTAGTGAGTTGGGGCTCCAGACATTCTTACTCCAGAGCTGTGAGTTTCTAACTGCAGCAGTACAGCATATTACTTCTTGAAGTAGGTAGGAGGTAAGTAGATGTGTGGTTAATACTCTTGTGAAGCTTCTGCAGAGTCATGGAGACTTTTATGTTTGTCTCTGAACTGAGGAATTAGAAGACTACCTCAATTCAGAAATAGATTTTTGCTTTTCTTCTTTTTTTTTCTCATTCTGAACAGGCCTTATTGTAGAATCCTTTTAAGTTTTGTTTAATTTTGGAGAGTTAGGACAAATTATAAATATTATCATAAAAATAGTTTATGAGAAAAATGCATTTTAGGTCATTGGCTTTTTCACTAAGTCTTTGCAGGAGGTGAACTTAGGATACAGGGTTGAAGGATGTGTAAAATTGCTAGGTATTAATGCTAAAACTATAGCAAGGCATGTCTAGGTTTAGGTACTGAAGATCTTCATAAGGAATCTTTGAAACAGATAATCAAGTGTAATTTAGGAAATTATTTTCCTGAAAATACTCTGAATTAGAATAAGGCAATTTCTTTAAAGTTGGTGATTATAAAGAATAGCTACTATTTAAATATTTTATGTTATCTTATTGAACCCTCACAATAATGTAATATAATTGTTAATAATCTATTATTATAGGTATTATTTATATGAAGAAGCTAAAGCCCAGAGAAGTTAAGTAGTCTGCCCAAAGTTACCTGGCTGATAAATGGTAAAGCCAGGATTTGGACTCATGTGGTCTGGCTCACGAGCCCACCTATACTCTAAACCACTTTGCTACAGCAGTGCTGTCCAACAGAACTTTCTATGATGTTGGAAATGTTTGGTATCTGTGTAGTCCAGTGCAGTAATCACAGTAGTCACGTGGCTACTGAACACTTACAATGTGGCTAGTGCAACTAAGGAACTGAGCTTTTTAGTTTTAAAATTTAAATTAATTTAAATATAAATAGCCTCATATGGCTACTGGGTACTATATTAGAGGTTGCAGCTTTCCAGGATCTTTCAGATTCCATAGAAGTAGAGATATCAGATATTTGCGGTCATCTAGGCTAACTTTGTGTTTTACTGGTGAGGAAACTGCAACACAGATGGGTGAATCTTCTGTTTAAAGTCATAAAGAAAGGGCCAAAGCTATAATCCAGGTGTTTATACTGTCCAATCACAGCTCTTCCCAATCTGTACCACTTAGACATCTGCAAATGTATGTTTCTGCTGCTATTGTTGATATTAGATTGGAGAACTGTTTGGGGAAAAAAAACCTTATCTTTTTTGAAATATATGTCCAATTAATATTTTCCTATTTTCTCAGGTTATAGAAACATTGTCTCGACTTTCTCGCACGCCTATCGCATTGGCCACGGGAATCAGGTAAGCTCTTTTTTTGTGGTTCATATGTTCCCTTCAGTTCAAGGCAGCAACTAGATTATCACTGCTTTGCAAAGCACCTGGCATGCAGGGACCGTGACTTATTCATGATGAGTGACTGCCCGATATAGAAGTGTCTAGTACACATTTGAAATTAATTGAGAAAGTTAAAACTTATTCATAGGGTTGAGTAAGACACATGGGCTAAACATGGTTCTCAATTTACTGGTGATGGTCACTGGTATTTTTTTTTTTTAATTCCTCCAACATTTCTGTACATGTGATTTGTGAAGGCAAACACAAATGCTTAAGTAAATAAATATTTTTAAAGATGTTGTAATTTACTCTAGAGTAGACTTTAACAGTAACTCACAACTTTTAGGAATTAAAGAAATAATCAGAGAACTGTGAAATATGTGTACACAGATGTGTATCAAAGATTTGGTAGTAAATTAAAAACTTAGAGGTAAATTAAATAAATCATGCCATCTCCTGGCAATGGAGTATTATGCAGTTGATAAGCATAAAAATATAGATGTGCATGTGGTGTTGGGCTTTTTCTGGTTCAGATACTACATAAAGTTAGATCAGTTGGTAAACATGTATTATGAGTAACAGGAAATAAAGAAAAACAGTCTCTGTGGCTGCTCAGCCAGGCCTCACAGAAATAGGATGGATTTTGTTTTTTACCTTCTTTCCTCAGGGCCCCCCATTCTGTTCTCCAGCCATCAAGGAGCTCGGAGAGCCTGTGTCCCTGCCTCTGTAGCTTCCGTTTGTCTTACTCAACTCACACTCACATCCCGAGGGGGAGGACCCGAGCAGGTCTCCCAGGAGCTCTCGGTGCTGGCCTGGCAGTCCTGTCCCGGCATCCAAAGCACAGGGACCTCTGGGAGGACACCCTGCAGACCCTTTTCCAGACCCGGGCCAAGAATTTGGCAGCTTTCTACAAAAATGGTCCATAGGCTGGATAAATGTTCTACTCCCCCTAATTTGCTTATTAATACATTCATATCTTTCCGTGTCAATATATATTTTATGTTGTTATGTGTAAACAGATTTTGAAAATGCATGATCCAATTTTTATGCATTTTTGATTCTGAAAGGATACATGTCAGAAGGTTTTTTTCCTTTTCAATTTTTGTTTTCTGTGTTTTCTAATTTTTCTGCAATGGACTTATATTGGTATAAAAGCATAATAAAATATACCTAAATTTATAAAAAGTGATTTTGAAATTTTACATTTCTCACACATTGATTTATTTGAGAAAAACATAGGTCCCTCAAGTGTCTTAGCTGTTTAGTAATTATTTAAAGCTTATATGTTACTTTGATGAATCCTCTTGTTTTTATGAAACACATGACATGCTGGCTGCCTGCAAAGAAAAAAACTTTTGACACAATAGTATAAGTACTGTGATTTTTGTTAGGCATAAATTTAGGTACTGTATTGGCATTATGAATAAAGAACATAGTATTACGATGCAAATAGGAAAGCCAAATAATTAGAATAGAAAATAGGCTAGGGTGTGATTTTCTTGAACAGGGGACAAACGCCCCTTGTCCCTGAGGTCTGGTTGACTCATTCATCTAATAAATGAAAATAAAAAATACAACTTAACTACCTTAAAGTCTCAGTAGAAAAGTATGTCAGGGTCAATAACCATATATATACATATATATATATATATAGGGTACAATGTTTTTGTCTTCTAATAATTTTCATCTGTACTAGTGAACTGAGTCATGAAAGGGTGGCTGGTACCAAATTATTTGTTATCAGATCCCATAACTGAAAAGAGAGGGTGCTGGAGGCACGGGCACAGGCGTGGCTGGGTGGGTGAGGTGACCCTGCAGGCATCAGGCTGGGAGATCAGATAAGCACACCAGGATGTCCCCAGTGCACAAGTGACTGTGGTGACCAGCTATAATTGTCTCAGATGATTTGGAGTAGTAGGTGTTGCAGCCTCCCCGGGGGGAACCCTAGACTTTGAGGCAGGCACTTTCGGGGAAGCCTAGGCAGTGTTAGGCATGGCGACAGATCTGACCATTTTGGCAACAGATCAGCTTACCTGTTTAGTGAGAGAGAGACTCCCAGCCTGGTTGTTGCTGATTCACCTGTGTTTTTTTCCCCACTTCTCCTAGGCCCTTCCCAACAGAAGAAAGCATTAATGATGAAGACATCTACAAAGGCCTTCCTGACTTAATAGAGTATGTTGAACATTTTTAGAAAAATTTAGCTACTGCCAATGTTTACATCTATCGTGGGTTTTAACTGTGGATGTTAAAATAAGCTGTCTTATTTTAAAGTGGCTGAACGATTAAGACATGTAAGAATTAACCTTAAACTGGCGATGGAAACCTTTACAAGGAAACATACTTTAGCTGGTTTTTGGTTCCTGTTGTGTGTGTCTGTTAAGAAGAAAGAGACATACCGCAACATACTGCCCATTTGACCGACTCCTCACTGTGCAAGTCTTTGCTCAGATGTCCCTCTCTGACTACCCTATTCAAAATCAAAGGCATAAGAGAGATAGTAGATAAAACTGGAATTAGACAATTAGGGAACAATTAAAAAGAAATAGAATCTACTACCGGAATTGCAGAGCAGATAAGACATGCTTTATACGTTCAAGGAAGGGTGAGATAAGTGTGGCTGGAGTTATTCTGGGATGTTCCAGTAGATGGTGTTTATTCTGAACAGAGAATGCTTTGGGGCTTTTTATATTTAACAGTCAGCAGAGGCATAAGGTCCTTGCAGCTGATTATCTTCTGCTGATTGAGTGACTCGTGCAGATTACAAATAAACATAAAACATGATCCTTGCCTCTCAAGGAACTGATGACATAGATCGGCATGTTTGCAAAGAATTATAATAACAGATAGATTATGCTCCAAGAGAGATTCAGATCCCATGGAAATTCGCCCCTTCATCCGTTTATCCATCCTAACACACACGACACGGCGGGCTTGTTTTTGCTTGGTGACCTTCACACTTGCTGTTTCTTCTGCCTGTTTGACCCCTCACCGTGCACGTATTTGCTCAGATGTCCCTCTCTGACTACCTTATTTAAAATCACCTCCATCCCTTACTTTGCTCTGTGTTTTTATAGCATTTACCACTGTCCGAGACAGCCTTGGTTTGCCTCATTTATCGTCTGCCTCATTATTAAAAGGTAAACTTAGTTAGGCCTGGGATCTTGCCTTGTTTATGGCTGTATTCCTAGAGCCATATTTGACCCCTGACTGCAGACACAGGGATGGATGGCCAGCAGCTCCTTCCAGAGTACGTGGCATTTGGAATGGCCTTAATGTCCTATCTTCTAAATATCCATTAAGAATAGTTTCTTATCTCTTCTTAAAATCTCTAAGAACTCACTGACATTAATGATGGTAGATGCCAATGGTCTTATTGAATTGGCTACAATCTTCATAATGACTATAAAATTATTATAATCAGATTCTTTAAAGTATTAGGAAGAATATATTATTTCTAGTGCTGTGATGACATTGTTCTTTTTTAAACCTCATCAGTGGTCATGAACACACATTAATTTTTATAGCTTCCCTCTATGTTGTTTTGTTTATGGGCGCTTTTAGGGAGAGTTGATGTCAGAATAAATACTGTGAGGATGCATTCCTGTTTAAGTCTGGAGAAAACTGTAGGGTCCTGAATTGGCTGCTCATGCTCTGTGAGATGCAATCTGCCTTAACATTCCATATGGTGGTCAAGGGTCCAAATGTGGTGTTATCCCCCCTGGAAATGCTTGCTTTTGGGTTTTCTTTGACAGCTTGATTTTTAGTCTTTGCTTCGTTACAATCTCTATGGGCTCATGTACTTAACTCTAACTTTTGGGGGTGAATTCACCCAAAGGGAAGCCCCTGGAACAAACATCAGTTTGGTCCCCACTACAGAGAGAACCATTCTTTTTTATGTTGGAGAGAAAGACACAGGATGGAGTGGAGATGACGTGAGATGGATAAATGGTACAGTATCCTCCTCCATTCTCCTATTTTATTATCAGGGTGTCAGACACGCCCATGTAGCCTGAACATGATTATTATTAATCTAATGCAGATTATTATTGATTTATTGATCATTTGGAGAATAGCACAGCCTTTTATCCCTGGCTCAGAAATCAGAAGTTGTTGTCCAAACTGTTAGCAGGAAAAGCAGCTTTAGCACAAGTTTGAATAACAAAACCCAAACAGCTCTAGCCCAGTCTTGTGTTTGTGTGTGTGTTTCTCTGTGTGTGTGTGCATGCATGTGTACATACACTATACTCACAGGTGTGTCACTCCCGTGGTTCTTAGAGTTGAGAAAAGTCTATGAATTTATACAATTTGTGCCTTTATTCTCATGGGAGATAGTCAAATGCAGGACTTCACAAGATTGAGTGTTTCGGGGGTGGTGTGGTGATAGGGGTCAGAGGCAAGAGTGCTGGGATCAGGAGTGCCAGAGAAATGGATTTCACATTCTAGTTTTCTTCTGAACAGGATCCCCTCCAGTGTGGAACCTGCATTATCCTGGTTAGCTCCCTCATGGACTCACCAGACCCTCTTCTCCTTTGATGTGTTATGGAAAATGCTCACACCAGTTTAACTGCCCCACTGTTCTCTGGCCAGATTGCCTGACTACAGCCTCACTAGGGAACTGCCAGTATGCTCCCTACCTCCCTCATTTTCCAAGTAGATATCTGCGCGTCATCCTTCACTCCTTCCTTCTCTCCCCCTAATTCTGATGTGTCAACGAGTCTGGCTGGCAATGTGTCCCAAGTCTCTCTGTCCTTCTCCTGCTCTGCCTTTACCCTAGTCATGGCTCTCAGTATCTCTCACCCACAGTGTTTCACTTTGTGGCTTCCTGATCTCCCCGCTGATTCCCCCCAACCCCTGGCTACCCCCTGCAATCCCTCTGTTGATTCCCCGATGCCCAGGGTAAGGGTGAGCTCACGGAGTACGTAGCCCTTTACAGTTTGGTTTCAACTCTTCCTTTGAGGGGTCCACCCCACGCCCCTGGTCACACCGAGCGGAGTGCCAGGGCTCTTCACACCCCCGGCCTTTGCACATGTTGGTGTATTTCACCTGGGCTGCCCTTTTCCTCTCCTCATTTGGTGTGTGTCACCCCTGCTAGGCTTTAAGTTCCGTGAGAGCAGAAACTCTGTCTCCCTGGTTTGTACCCGTAACTCTTGGAACAATATTTTTACAGAAAATATCTATTGAATAAATTGACATATTGAAAAATGTTCAAGGTCCAGCTCAGATGTAGTATCTTCTGTGAAGTCTTCCCTGACTTCTTTGGTCAGAGTTACTCTCTCTCTTTTCTCTGCTTCTGTATTTTGCACGCATCTCTTTTGTTGCATGTAGAGAAATCGCGTGTTTATGTCATGTGCTGCTGTCCACATTGGACTATGGCAGAGTTCTTGGGTCTTCTTAGCGCAGAAGAGCCTAGAACGTAGTAGGTTCTTTGTAAATGTCTGTTGGGTGGATGGATATTTGAGTGAGTAGGGGGGTGGACAAGTAATTCTGTAATGAATTTTTCTCAGAGCAGAAGTCTCTGAAGCTTTTGTTACCACCAGATCCCTCCCTCTTAATACATCTTCCTTTTCTGCAGGTGTTTGACAGTTCATTCCTGTCAAGTACCTTCAAATAATCCTTCATGGCAAACATAAATAACCTGCTGATTGTACTTACTTTGAAAAATGCTCCAAGTTGCAGAGTGACATTTACAGTTACAGTGTTTTTATTTTTGTACATATCAATTTATAATGTTCTATCTGCACAGGCCCAGGAGAGATGCTAAGAGCTGGCATTATTGAAGAAGTTGAATTTCTTCCTCAGAGATATTAATATTAATGCTTCTTTCCAACATTCTAAATTGGTTAATCTCAATTTTGGAATTATTAGTTAATAGAAGGCATTTATAAATGTCTTGAACTCAAAGGAAGAACCTGAGTAGTGGCAGAGCATGGCACTAGTGGGTGGAACAAGCTGTCCCCACCTTGACTGAATGAGTTTACAATTCTATGTGAGGGGGCTTGAGGGAGATCCTCCAATCAGTCACTATTTCTAAAGCTCATGAAAGCTTTAGAAATAGGTATTATTTTCCATATCCAGGAGATTAGCAGGATATTTTAATTTTAAAAATATTTGTGGCCTTAAGGCCCTTTCTTTAAACAAAATGCAAACAAATAAAATAGATAAGAGAAGGATCTGGTTGACGGGGGGCTTGTGAGTACCCTCTGCATGAGCATGGTTTGAAAACCACTGGATTAGTTGTTGATAATAACCTGTACTAACTGCTGCTTTAAAAAGATCATTTATGACATGTTAGATCCTGTCTTCTCCATATTACACCCTTTAATACAGATGATGAAACTGAGGTCTTGACATATGAAAAATAGGTGGCAGTCTTACACTCAGAGTGCAAGACAGACTTTGTTCTAAATCTTGGCTCTGCCAGTGACTAGCTATGTCATCGTTGGCAAGCCAGATAACCTTTTGGTCTTTCAACTTCCTCATCTCTTTAATGGATCAAGTAGTAATGCATACCCAATAAGACATTAATGCTAGACGAATTAAGAGAGATAATATATGCAGAATAATTATGTGCTTATACATAGTAACTGCCCAGGAAATTTACCGCGTGATAGAAAATGACCTTCGTATTGTATCCTTTATTTTAGTGAAACCCGTGTGGACGATGAGGAAGATCTCTATGACTGTGTTTATGGGGAAGATGAAGGAGGAGAAGTCTATGAGGACTTAATGAAAGCAGAGGAAGCACATCAACCCGTAGGACTTTTGTTTGTTTTTTAAGTTACTCTGAGTATTTTATTAGGAGCGCGATTACTTGAAAGATTAATGTAATTATTTTTGTAACCTCTGCTGAATGGTTTTGTTTGTTTTATCTTGGCTTGCTGTAACTGTCTAACTATGACTTGTTATTACATTTGGAGACCTAAGCATGGTATTTTATAGTTCAAAACAATCATAGTTCAGATCTAGAGAGATGCTTAAAGAAAAGAAAAAGAAAAAAAAAGAAGCAAAACAACCATAGGGAATCTCTGGTCTAATCTTTTCATTTTGTACTAGTAAGGAAACCAAGTTTGAGACAAAAATGACACGCCACCCAGCTGACTAATGGCACAGTGGTAATAGACCATAATTTTAGGAAATCTTGAAATGATACTGTTAGGAAAGTAAATCTTTTGCAAAGCAGGTAAATTTCTTCCATTAAATTTGATGTAAGAGAAAATATATGTTAAAGAATATTTAACACAGTTGTTAGGTGTTGATATGAGATATTTTTTCCCTTTTGTTTCCTTATAAGTCTCCTAGCTTTTTTACTATTTCATAAACTTTGTTTTATATATAGTCATAGTCAATATGAGCCCCCAAAGCTTTATTTGCCATTAAAATATCTAGAAAATTCAGAAAGAATTACTTTGAATTATTTTCTCATCTGAAACAAAAAAATGTCAGTGGCTCTGGTTTTTATTAATGTATCCTTCTTTTGTACCGAAGAGTCTTCATCAGCTGGGTGGTGATTTAGGTTTTTTTTTTTTTTTTTTTTTTTTTGAGACAGAGTCTCACTTTGTTGCCCAGGCTAGAGTGAGTGCTATGGCGTCAGCCTAGCTCACAGCAACCTCAGACTCCTGGCTCAAGCGATCCTCCTGCCTCAGCCTCCCAAGTAGCTGGGACTACAGGCATGCGCCACCATGCCCGGCTAATTTTTTGTATATATATTAGTTGGCCAATTAATTTCTTTCTATTTATAGTAGAGACGGGGTCTCGCTCTTGCTCAGGCTGGTTTCGAACTCCTGACCTCAAGCAATCCGCCCGCCTCGGCCTCCCAGAGAGCTAGGATTATAGGCGTGAGCCACCGCGCCCGGCCTTTGATTTAGGTTTCTTGAGTGCTCTGGTGAATTTTCTCAGCTCTGTGCTCCTGCCTTTGATAAAAGTCTGGTGGGTTGTTCCGTGCCACTGATGGGCTGCAGTACCTTCTGTGGTGTGAAAACAAATTACCTGTCTGTGTTTGGTAAATATAAGAAAGTGCTTTACCCCACTGCAGCAGTTGACATGCTGTCTGTGGCAGCATTTTTAGGTGACAAGGTATCATCTATACCTCCTATATTTGTTACCTGCTTTTGGCGCCATCAGATTCCTCAGTGTCTCCACAGGACAGCCTGTCTTCACTCTGCGACAGTCCTCACGTAGCTGACAGGGTTAAGAGCAATAATATTTTGATGTGTTGGGCACTTGGCAAGGTGTTAAGTGCTTTACACTGTTTTATCTCATTTACAATTCCCTGGAGTTGATACTGTAATTCTCCCTGTTTTACAGATGAGAAAACTGAGTCACAGAGAAATTTAGTGGTTTGTTCACAGTTACAAACAAAGCCAGTAACAACAAAACTGGTGCTTCAACCTAATTCTATCGTATTCCAGAATCTTTGATTTTAGTTCTATGCTCTGCCTCCTCCAATCTTACACACTTAGTAAAAGAGGCAAACACGAAGATGTTAATGTTTTAAAAATAATTTGAAGGTTTTTACTTACCAAATATCTTTTTTTGTTGTTATTTTTGCAGTTATTTCTATACCACTTGTGAAGTGTACTATATATTAAGGAACTCCTATATCATTTATGGTATTTCCAGATTCATTAACATTTTTAATAAAATATATTATAATTTAAAGAGAATGTCTATACTCAGAAGTTTGTTTTTAGTCATCTAATACCTTTTCATTTATATTGTTCAAAATTTTAAGCAAAAGCAAAGATACTTTATAAACGCAGTTAACTTTGCCTTTCAGTTATGTGTTTCATTAGAATGGAAAGCTTAAGAAAATAAGCAATACTTTTTACCTTTTTATATCTACTACCAGATAAATATATGAATTTGATTAAATAATTTTATTTTGATAATCTTAACTGCAGAAATGTCCAGAAAATGACATACGAAGTTGTTGCCTAGCAGAAATTAAGCAGACAGAAGAAAAATATACAGAAACTTTGGAGTCAATAGAAAAAGTAAGTCATTGTGTATTATTCTTGATGCTAAAATACCGCCTTATATAGTTACTATATTAGACTCACTGTTTCTGATGAATGTGTGTATTCTAATTTTTAATAAGACTTTGTATTTAAAGATCTCAAAGCAGATTAATTCATTCCAGAACTATTTATTTATTGATGTTCTGGTATCTGAATGATAGTGTTTTAGGAATTGGGGCTATAGTAAGTAGTAAATATTAATACAACGAAACTCTGGTTCTCAAGGCATTTTCTTTCTCATGGGAAGCTTTAGAATGTCAGCAAATAAGTATGCCAGGTGGTGATAAGTTATCTGAAGACAAATGAGGCAGGGAAAGGGGATAGAGGATGGTGCAGGGAGGGCTGGTGGTATTTTACATAGAGTGGTAATGGAAGGCCTCTCAGACAAGAGTGAGCAGACAGCTGCGTGAATCGAGGGCTCCAGCCATGTGAATATCCAGTGAAGATACTTTCTGGGAGAAAGGCCCTGGGATGGGAAAGTATTGAGCACATGCTCCCAGGGGAAGCAGCAGCCAGCATGGCTGGAGCAGGAGTGAAGGGCAGTGAGCAGTGAGGTGGGCCAGCCTGTGGGCCACCGGGTTGTGCAGGGCACTGGAAGCTAGAGCGTTTTGAGCAGAAGTGACATGATGTGATTTATGTCTTGAACATCTCATTCTGGCTCTTGTGAGGAAACTGGGAGAAAAATTAGAGGGCTACTGTAGTAATCAAGATGACAAATGGTGGTATTGATAGAGATGCTAAGGGGTGGAAAGATTCTGAATAAGTTTTTAAAGTAGAGCTAACTGATTGGGTGATGGATTCAGTAAAGGAAGTGTGAGAAGGAGAGGAATGGAGGATGACTGCTAGGGTTTGACGGGAGCAACTGCCAAATGAAGGTGGTTATGGAGGAGATGGGGACGGACAGGTTTGGCAATCGTAAGTCTGTTCAATCATATTAAATTGCTGATACCTATTAGATTTCCAAGGGGTTATGTTGAGGATCCAGCTAGATATGAGCCTGGCATTAAGGGGAAAGGTTGAATTGATTCAACCATTATCATTTGGCATTAAGGTCCTGGGGCTAAATGAGATCACCCTAGGGGACGCATGTTGTTAGGGAAGAGATTTGAGGCCACCCCTGGGGACTCCCATATTTACAAGTTAGGAAAATGAGAACCAGGAGAACTGTTCTGTAAGTTTAGGAAAAAAGATGAAGGTGTGGAAAAGTTAGTTGCTCAGGAGAGTAGGAGAGTAAATCGATTAGGGAAATATAGTAGGGCCATGTAGCATTATAGGCCCAGTTGAGTTTTGTGGTCATATTTAAAATTAGACTGTCAGTGTAGTCTCTGCGTAACTTCTTAGATACAGGCACAAAACCCTTAGATTTAACCAGGGTTTTAGTTTTTCTAGAAAATCACAGTGGAAGAAGAGGGAGGGTAAGGGTATTATGCAGGGACATGACTCTGATGATGGTTCATGGAGTTGTAAACTGGGTAAGGAGGACATGAGGACGTGAGGGAAGTGGGCTGGGCAGTGGCGTGGCAGACCAGGTAGGGCTGAAGAAGTCCTTGAGGGAATGAGCTGTGAAGGTAGGAAGTAGTGGTCAGAGAGTTGAGTGCTTGAAATTAGTGCTGTGGAGCATATGCAGGTGTTGATAATGACAAAGTCTTGGGGTATGAACATGGGCGTTGGGAGCCGAGATAGGGTGGAGCACAAGGTTATCGAAGGTCACAGAACTGAGAGGCCAGGCTCTGCTGGAAGGATCATCTGCACAGATAATGAAAGAGAGATGATAGGCCAGGAACTGAAATTCTTAAAGAATGATCCATAAATTGCAGAACAGATTATTGATCTCAGTAATCTATAATCTCCACAAAGCATTTGGAGGATGTTTTCGTTTAAGTCCTCAGATATATCTACAAATGTTGGCATTGTTTGCTAACTCAGCCAATAGCGTTCTCTTCTTTCCTACCTTTGGAAGTGTTTGTTGTGTAACCTTTTATTTTATATTTGAAATGTACTAACTTGTATTTATGTCTTTATATCTGTTCAAGTATAAAATCTTTAAGATAAAGACATTTCTACTTTTTTGCATTTATACTGATAAACAATTGACCCTTGATAAATATTGTTTGTTGATGAAAAGCTATTCTATTATATAGATTAATTTTACTTGCCTCTTCTCTCCTGGTAGTATTTCATGGCACCACTTAAAAGATTTCTGACTGCAGCAGAATTTGATTCAGTATTCATCAACATTCCTGTAAGTAAAAATATGCTAGCTAAAATTGTGGTGTACTTCTATAAAATCTTCATTTTCTTAAGTGGGTTCTAGATCCCTGTTTTCACATTCTTCTGTATTCTTTAAGAATTTTGATCCTGTTTTTTGATTCTCCAGTTCTTATATCATTATTTTCTTGAAATAACTATGTAATATCTTCAATGAAATGTCATTCAAAATGCATGCACAACACAAATGGATAAACAGGATTTTGTGTTAGCCTTAACTGTATGACAAGAAGGGGCTGTCTTAATGAAATAATTCTTGGTGCTACCACCTGTTTGTCTTCTGGGGTCCCCTTCTGCCCCATGCTGGCCTGCCCTGTTGCTCCTCCAGCCCCTCAAACCTTGTCTTACAGCCACTTTCCCGACTCCATCGGTTCTCCCTACTTTGGCCTCTGCTCTTTGGTGCCTCCTCCTCCCAGTTGTATCAGCCTTAAACTCCTGTTTCTGAAATAGACTACTTCCTCAGGATTTAACAGACAACCTGAATGATAAAATGTGGGGGGATTGTTTTTCACAGTTATATAAGCATTTCAAGTTTTAGGGCACCTTACCAGAATCTTACAGTCCTAAAAGGATTTTTGCCCAGAAATTTTAGAAGCAAGTTAAATGCTATGCCAAGTGAGGTAATGCTAGGCAAGATGCTAGTTCTTGGACCTTGCTTTGGTTCTCTGGAACTTGCTTTGGTTTACACACACACACACACACACACACACACACACTTATATGTACATAAGCTTTTATGTGCAGGCTTGCTTGTTTCACCTGAAAAATCACTTATATTTTGATTCTGTTGTGTTCTGTGTTGATGAGCACTGGTTGACAAGTGTGTTGTCTTTATCCCTGATTTTGGCCAAATGAAGACATTCTCAGTGATTTATAATATACCAGGAAGAAAACGCTAACAGTCTCAGGTGAAGGTGTAACATAAAACAAACTGGACATTCTGGGAAGATAGGGATCTTAAACCACTTAAAGTAAGGTCACTGTTAGAACCCATGTAACAGTCCTTATTCTTATTGGTTTTCCATACTCTTCAGCAAAATGACAGGACCAACATATTCATGTTTAATTTGCACTCTACTTAGGAAAGAACATGCGGTGGAGTCAATGTGCGCTCCAAGGTACACAGGGAGAGGTAATGGGGGAATTGGCACCTTGATTCACACTTCCTCATTTCCTGGCTGTGAGATGTATTTACTGCCTGACCAAAAGCTACTTGCTTATCAGGAAAAATGTGAAATTCTGACTTTGAGCTGCTCTAGTAAACAGTCTAGTACAATTTATTTGCTTCTTATTTATGCCATTAGTTGTCTGGTTTCAAGTAATTTAGTCTGATTATTGTTAGCTTAGCACCAGGACACCACTAATTGACCAAAGTACAAATCTACATTTCTGTGTCACAAGGACATGAATCATTACTTTATCCTGTCAATAAAACATTAGGTACTTGGATAGTTTTATTTAAAAATTTACAGTGATTATAAAATGAAAATGAGCTGGACATGTTTTTACATAAAGAATAAATTATCCTTTAATAACTAGTGAGATAATTTCTTTTTCACAGGACACTGACATCTCAAGTCAGGTCTGAAATGGCTATTTCACACACACATGGGCTGTCTCTCTTTCCCTCTTTCTTCTCCCTGCTCCCTTCCCTTCTTCTCATCTTCCTACTCTTCTCCTCCTCCTTCTTTCCCACCCTTTCCTCCCCACTTCCTTCCTTCCCCATCTTCTCCCTCTGTTTCCTCCCCTTCCTCCTCCTTCCCCTCCTTTTCCTCCTGTCTTTATTGGTGGTGGCAAGTTTATATATTGAGAATATTCAGTACATCCTGAATGGCAAGTCTAGCAATAATAGAGATTCTGGGTTTGGGGCATATTTTTTGGTTCTGATTTCTACTTTCCTTTCACATTGTTTTCTAAGGAACTCGTAAAAGTTCATCGGAGCCTAATGCAAGAGATTCATGATTCCATTGTAAATAAAAATGACCAGAACTTGTATCAAGTTTTTATTAACTACAAGGAAAGGTAACTTTAAAATTTTAAGTTTTGTGGGTCTTAGTTTATAGTGACAGTGATAGTTAATATTGTAATGGCTATAGCTGTTGTTATATTGCAGTACTACCTGGGCCGTAATTAGAACCTGGGACAGTTAATCTCAGGTAGCAGTTTGAGCTCTATATGTGCATTAAAAAAAAAAAAAAGGTTAGCAGGGGATAGTGGTGTGTGCTATAGTCCCAGCTACTCAGAAGGTTGAGGTGAGAGGATCATCTGAGTCTCAAGTTGGAGGGTGTGAGCTATGATTGTGCCACTGTACTCCAGTCACTCTAGCCTGGGCAACAGGACAGAGTATGGCCCTGTTTCTGAAAGAAAGGGAAGAAAACAAGGAATATAAAAGGATCCAGTATAGTGCTCATACTTTTACAATGGAGGCTTTTTCAGCCTCCATTTCCTATTTTGTCAACGTCAGGGGTAGATTAGCTGATTCCTAATGCTTCTTCTGACTGTAATATTTTATGATTCTCTATTTTAAAGTATTTGATTCATAAAGTCAATTTCCCTTCCTAAGTTTGGGGAAAAATCTCCTGAAGAACTCCATAAATAGGAGTACCAAGAAATTTCACTTAAAATATAATTCTTTCTTTTTAATTTAATTATAAATTCTTTATAATTCTTTTCTTTTTAAATCAAGCAATATAGTTTGTAGCACCAATTAAGAAGTGGCTAGTGAATTGCTTTGTGTCAACTCTTAGATAGACATTAACACCTTATTGGTAGTTTTTTCCAGTGGAGAGTTAAGAGAAAAAATCAACCAACCAGCTTCTGTAAAATGTTTGTATTACTACAGAGATACCTTTCCTGAAGCAGCTCAGACTTCATGCCATATGAGCTATCTTCTGTTCAGCACAGTTCAGACCTCTAATTCCCCTGTTTTCAGATGATGTGTGTTCCTTAATCCAAAAGTAGGAAAAAGTATAGGAGGTTTACTAATGAGTAGGGTCATATGGAATGATTGCAATAAAATTGTAGTCGAAATAAAACTGTTTCTGAGTGTGAAAAAGTTTATCTCTAGTAAGAGCTTTAACAGAAATTTTTAATTTTGTTTTTGAAATGCATATATATACTAAAATAACATCAACAGTCATTAAGCCAGTTTATACAATCTATCTGCTATAAAAATGTACATGGAATTAATCCCACTCACATTTGGAACTAAAAATCAGTCACTGCTATAAAAGTGACTCTCATTCTATGACTACATATGTGATGTGTATTAAAAATTTCTGCTACTGCTTTGATTATCCCTAACTGTGGTTTTAAAGAGTTGGAGATTCTGACTCTTTCCCCCTCTACTTCATTCTTGTTTTTTGTCTTACAGATTTCTTCTTCTGTCTTTTTCCCTTTTAGGTTGGTTATTTATGGGCAGTACTGCAGTGGAGTGGAGTTGGCCATCTCTAGTTTAGACTACATTTCTAAGACAAAAGAAGATGTCAAACTGAAATTAGAGGTGCTTGTTTATTTTTTTATCATTGACATAAAGTAAAATAAGCCTAAAAGCAACGTATTCCTCTTTATGGTCAATGCAACAGTACATGTCTCCATATATTCTCAATATAATCTCATGCCAATTTTATAAAATGTTTTAAGGGATAGGTCTATAAAGTAATATGGTAGTAATAACAATAGTAAAACCTAATATTTATGGTCCTGTGTTTTACATGTATTATCTCACTAGGTCCTCCTGACTCTGTGACATATATACAATTAGTTTTCTCATCTTATTGATGAGAAAGCTGTAGAGAGATTATGAGTAATTTTCCCAGTTAGTAAGAGGTGTAGGATGAATGACATAGATGTTAGATAATGTATATGTAGATTTAAAAGCGTGTCTTACTAAAAGCGTAGGACACTTAGGGGCAGAGGTATAAAAAGGGCATGGATATTACCCATAAGAAGGAAGAAATGACAAACACAAATATAAGGAGATTAAGTAGTATGAGGTAAGCACTATGTGACAGAACTCTGTGAGTACTATTGAATCTGCTCACTTTAGTGTGGGTGGCTGTGGAGGATTTATCTGAAGAGGCAACAATTGAGTTAGGGAAAAGCTTTGATGAATGAGAATCCGTGGAGAGCATTCTGGAAGAATTGGCATGTCTTGACCAGAAGAGTCAGCAAAGTTTGAGAAATGGCAAGTAGGCCAGTGTAAATAGAGCACAGGGTCACAACAGAAAATAAGTCCGCAAATGTGTTAAATCATAGTGTTTTTGTACCCCACATATGTTTTTTTCACAAGAGGAGTTCCTACTTTCAAAGAACTTTCGATAAATGATTGTTATATGAATTATCATCTTAAATATATTATCCTTGTGTTTAGATTTTCTTAAATTTCAGATAGATATATCTAGTCAACTGTTCAATGACTATGGCTTGTTTGACTCTTTAATATCCCTTTTCCTACTCTTTGGTCAGTTGAGCAGTTAGGTCAGGGGAAGAACAGGGGAAACGGGGCAGATGATTTTCAAATCAGCATCCTTCATTGTTTTGGCTCTCTGGTATGATTTCATAGCTCATGTAATTCTCACAAAGGGAAATCATTGCTTACAAAGCTTGCATGTTAACAGGTATCCAGGTAACAGCACTAAATCTATGTCATGGATCTTTTTTCTCTACCTCATAGTATCCCTTCACGATGTTGACCTTAAGACTGGAGGTAGTTTGAGTGCTAACGTTGTCAGTGCAAAGGGTTCCTGCTCCTCTCTGGAGAAGAGAGCCTCTTAAGTGTAGACCTGTAAGCTCCTCGACTCATTAAAATAGGATGATAAAATAAAACTTTACAACTCATACATCTAGTTCCTAATAGTGCAACCATTAAAGCATTAAAAAAAAAAGATATAAAATTGTGGTTCAAGAGAGGAGTGAGTGAGTGTCAGTCATTCCTGCATTATATTCTCAGCCTTATCTGAATGTTCCTCTTCTTCCTTTGAGAGTAATGATCAAAGTTCTGCCCAGTGCCCATACTCTAGGGACTCTTAAGTACTCAGTTTCTGCAGTCACTATCAGTCATGGGGAAGGAGAGGACCTTTCAGGCTGAGTTTGAAAGGTGCAGAGAGAGGTGCTGCTGGCTGTTCTTTTCTCAGCTTAAAAGCCTGTACTTCTGACCACAGGCCTGATTTGGAAGTATTTAATCAGATACTTAATATCACACTTCAACAGATACTCAGTTGGAACTGCCTACTGCAAGTCCCAGCATGACGGAGGGGGTAGTTGCCTTCTTCTTGGTGTCTGTCTGCCTTCTTTGTGTCTTCTGTTTTGTAGTTATTTTTTGTTCTTGTTGATTTTTTGTCCTTTTCTATTTTGGAACCAAGATAACATGGGGTGAAGGGTGATAGAGTCTCTTTCTCTAGCCCTGTAAACCTGGCTGATCCGACCCCATTTTATTTTCTTTTCGATTATAATTGAGTTGAAGCTAAGAAAGTGACTGGATGTTTTAGAAGAATTACTTCTACCTGTTTACTTTCAATCTTTTTAAGCATTTTATACCTCAGTCTCCAGCCCACAGTTTTAGCTAATACCAGCAAGGTTGGTTTCTTTACTTCCTGAGCCTGTAACTTAGAATTTAAAGGAACTAATTTTTTTTCCTAACAATTTTAAACTAACTTTTATAACATAGTAAATTTTAAATGTATAACATTTCTGTTCCTAACACTGTGTTGGGATGGCATGGCATAAGAAGGGTAAGCTACAACCTCAGTTCCAAGGACCTTAAAATGCAGCTGTGGAGATAAGACCCACTCATTACAATAATATTAACAGTTTAACCTCCTGTTTGAGACTCATGATCCAGAACTCTCTGCAATCTGTAGAAGCAAGAAATCAGTTGAAATAGTTATCATTCTAATGAACCACAGTAATTGGTAAGACATAAGCTAATATGTCAGGATGTGTCCCCAGTTCATTTTGCCTAAGATCTATAGTCAGATACACTCATTAAGTCACTGTGGTCATTAGAGTTAATGGTGTTTGCCTAATAGCCCCTGCTAATATATCATTCTATGTGCAGAAAAGCTAAGAGTGGGCAAAGGGGGAACAAACTTGTGAACAAAGAGTATTTTCTTAATCATACCTCCTTCCATGAACTGGAAGAGTCTTTGGGCTAGGATGTGCAATTGTGTGAGGATATTAAAATGAGATTGCTCAGTAAAAATAATGTTTGTAGGGTACTTTACTTTTTTTGAATGACATCGCAGATATATGAGAAACAATAAAATCAGAAAAGCAACTCACACAGCTGTGAGTTGTCAAACCTTAGCTTTCAATTCATGCTTTGACACTTCAGAGTACTTCCCTCAAAGTCATAGTTACTGTCAAAAGAGTGAACAAGGGAATACTATTTTTAAGTAAACTTTTAAGAAAGAATGTGATTTAAAAAAAATAAAATCTAAGGCTTTTAAAAACTTGGAGTCCAGTAGTAGGTTTAAGCTTTAGCAAATTTTTATAGTCAAAATATTCCATTTCATTCAGCTTAGTAAATATTTATTAAGCAAATGCTAGATTCTTAGAGGGACAAAGGACAAAATATGCTGGAGAAGATATTATGGGCTAGGCATGGTGGCTCACACCTGTAATTCCAGCACTTTGGGAGGCCAAGGCAGGAGGATTGCTTCAGCCCAGGAGTTCAAGACCAGCCTGAGCAACACTGCTAGACCTCATCTCTAAAAATAAAAAATAGAAAAATAAGCTGGGTATGGTAGTGTGCACCTGTAGTCCCAGCTACTTGGGAGGCTGAGGCAGGAGAATTCTTTGAGCCCAGGGGTTGAAGGTTACAGTGAGCTATGATTGTGTCACTACACTCCGGCCAGGGCAATATGGTGAGACTCCGTCTCTTTAAAAAAAAAAAAAAGGTATTATGTACACCAATAATTAACCCCCCCCCAAAGCAAAAAGAGAGAAAACAGTTTTGATAGGGTTTATAGTAAAGGCCTAGAAATATAGTTCTTAAAGAGGATGATGAATTGTGCTAGAGGCTGGACAAAGCACCAGGCAGTTGGAGAGAACTGAATAAACCAAGGCATGAGGGTGGGAAGGTTCATGGCCGGTTTGAGTAGGGATGTGTTCTTGATGCCTGGTCCATAATCCTCCTGGGGGAGGTTGGTGGAAGGTACAACTATAATGGTGAGCTGAGGAAGACTCTGAAGGGACAGTTTTGCAGTAGAGAAAATAATTTTCATACATAAAATAGTTCTATTATAATAGATTCCATATTTGGAGTTAAAATTACTATAAAATTTCTTTGTTTTTAAATTGAAGGTACTCTATTATTTAGAGAGAAGTATTGTTAAGCAAAACAGCAAAATATTTATTGTATAATAACAGTTCTGCTTAGGGACTTTGCATCTTTGTAATGTTTATGACTCCCCTTGAGAAAACTGACAAAGTTTTTTACACAAGTTTTTAAAAATCATTTCATTAGGAATGTTCCAAAAGAGCAAATAATGGGAAATTTACTCTTCGAGATTTGCTTGTGGTTCCTATGCAACGTGTTTTAAAGTATCACCTTCTCCTCCAGGTATGTAACTTAAGACTATTTGTTTATTGCTCATTTATTCATTTTACAAAATATTAATGAAGCATCACATGTGTCATACATACTCCATGTTTGGGGCCCTGTCCCCTTAAAATTTTGAATTATTATTATAGTTAAGTAGGAAATAACAGAACATCTGGGAATTTTTTTCTTCTTTGTAGCAAAGATGATTCTGTATCCGCCACAAGTCACATTTTGTGTCTTTCAAACAGGACTGGCTAAAATATATATATAAAAAGCAAGGCAAAACAAAAATAGTCTTTCAACCATGTCTTCTATAGTTAGAAGTAATCCTTTATTAGCATTTCAATGTTGTGATGCATCTGAATTCTGGCAGATTAATCATATCAGATCTTTTGCCTTATAACAGTAAATTAAAGAGAATTGTGTCACATTCCATATTGCTTTCTACTGTACTAAATTATAATAAGACTACATTTATTTTGAAGTGATTCTTGTTATAACCCACAAAGCTTATGGTTTCCACGGTTAGTCCTCTAATGAGGGTGGAGAGTCTTATAAATTTGATTTGATAGCTATACCAGGAGACTCATTAGTTCAGCTCCAAAGAAATGTCTTATGTATTAGTCTGTCAACTCTGCTGATGCTTGTGAAATGTCATTTTAAAAAGATCTACTACCTGTATGTGAAATATAATTTTGAGGCTGCTGTGCTTTGTACATCTGTAGCTGCAAAATTATTAGTCATCACTGTTTTTGTTCTACTGAGAAATCAGAAAAATTCAAACCATGATTATTCCTTAAAAATGCATTAAAACATTTATGAGACCTAAACTCAGAGCAACTTAATCAAATTGGATTTTATGAAAAAATAATAAGGAAGATTTAGGCAATCAGTTTCCAAGGCATCTTGGAACTAAAAACATGTCCAAAATAAGATAATAATTTATTTTGTTACTTCAGTGTAGTTAAATATTGATTGAAGAATTTAGAAGGTGCAATTTTTAAGAAATATCTATTTTGGTCCTTATGGGGTTCTGCACAGACTTATAAAAGTATAAAATGACTATACTTGTAAAAAAGTGAACTTTCCCCCCTAATTTCTCTTGAGTTGTTTTGTATTTTAAATTTAAAGCATATGTTTCATTCCATGATGACTTTTTAAAATAGGAAAAGTCTTATTTTGGACACCACACATAGATAACATTCTAGAAATGGTTTTCCATCTCAAAATAGTATAGCGTAAAACTTATTTTTCTGGTGTGTAGAAATTTGTAGAACAAATGTGGTTGTAAATTTGGACATTCTCCACTTACTATGCTAAAGTGGGGAAATCACTTGAAATGCTTTGTTCTGAAATCACAGATTTATAAAATTAGCATGTTTTCTAGTGGGGGATTGGAAACTTGAGGAATAATTTACTATTTTTATTTAATAAGGTAGAAGTAAAAGTAGAAATAAAAGAATAGAATTTCAACAGATTTATTATACTTAATAATTCTCCGTCAGTCCTGTTTACAGAAGGAAACACCAGTGGTATTTTTTGAGTGTCTTCCTTGTGCCAAACACAGCATTAGGCACTCATGATATATTAATAATACAGCCCCTCTACTGATAGAGTTGCCGGTTAGAAGGGAGAAATGAAGTGTAAACTGTCAAGCATAACACAATAGGTGTTATGAAGGCACAGAGGTGGTACAAACAAAGGACTAAATAGTTATACCCTAAGAAGGCTAAGGACTTGAGCAGAGGCCTCTGTCATAGAAGGCTTCCCAGAGGAGAGATTCTTAAGTTGGGCTTGGAAGGAAGAGTAAGAGTTTTGACAGGTGGATCAGAGAGGAAGAGCTTTCTAAGGAGAGAAATGGCATTTCTAATGGGATTAGATATCAGAACATATTTTGAAAATTATGACTAATTCAGTATGAGTAGAATACAGATTGTTTGGGTGGAAGTGGGGAGAGAGGAATTGAGAAGTTTGCAGAATTCAGATCACAAGGACTCAAAGAGGGATGAGTGACAGCCCAAAGCTTTTGTGGAGCATCACAGAAGCCTAAACAGGATAGAGCCAGGATCTGATTTACATTTTAGAAGCCTAACTCTGATGTCAATATCATGAATGGATTACATGAGGAGAGACTTCAAGTCAGAAGATCAATCAGACGCTCATTGTAATTACCTGTTTAAATAAGGGCGAGGACCTGACCCTGAGTAGTGGCAGTGAGATTGGTTTCAAGGGGCAGGATCAACATTGACATCAACAGGACATAGGGAGAGGGGAGAGGGAAGAGTACGGGACACCTTTCAGGTTTTGGCTTAAGTGGGTATACTCATGGAAATGCCATCATTCAATAAAACATAAATAGGAGCAAGAGTAGGGTTCTGGGTGAAGATGGATTAAGTTTTGGGCATGTTGGATTTGGGGAACCTTTGAGATACCCGGGTGGAAATGTTTAGTTGCATGTGTGAGTCTGGGTTGAGGACATACATTTGAGAGTGATTGCCCCATTAGGTGATACATTATGAGAATGGTTGTGATAGAATTTGTAGAGTATGTAAAATAAGAATAAAAGAGGACTGAAGTGAAAATGTAGGGCACAATAACTTTCTAAGAGGCAGACAAAGAAGAAACCATGACTGACGAATAGGCAGAAATATAGGATGGACAAATAAACAACAACAGCAATAACAACAATGAACAGACCACCCTATTGTCCCTGAAATGAAAGGTGACATGCAGTCAGGAAAGTCAAAAGCTATAGAGAAGTCAAATGTGATAATGGGTAAAACCTATCCATTCAGTTAGCATGTAAGGGATCTTTGATAATATTTGTGAAGCAGTGTCAGTGTGATGGTGGGGAATAGAATTCAGATTCATCTTAGAGAGGAAAATGTTTACAAGCGTGTCTCATGTTCTTTTGGTGTCTAGTTGGTCTTTTTATAGTTTGAAATTTTTGAAGGGAATGGAGCCTGGTTACATCAGATTTATCACATTATGGAGAGAAAAATTATAGTAATGGTTTAGTTTTGAACATGTTTTCTTTCTTATGTCTTAGTTTTAATTTGGTGAAAGTAGTACTGAACTATATCTTCCAAATAGGAGCTGGTCAAACATACCACTGATCCTGTCGAAAAGGCAAACCTGAAACTGGCTCTTGATGCGATGAAGGTAAGGCATAAGTCTCAGTGACTTGTCTGTATGTTTTAAAAGCAATAGAGTTTCAACTGCTAACAAATATATATGATGTGCTAATATATTATAATACACATTTGTTTTTGATGGGGAGAGCTGGATCTTTTTTTACTGAAATAGATATACTTGCATGGATTTAACTGTTAGACAAAAACACACAAAAGGGATTTAAACAGCTGTATTAAAATAATTTTTGCTCAAGTATGTCAACTTTCATAACCACCAGGATTGATTTTATATAGTGGTTGTATCTCACATTATTTTCATGATTACTGATAGAAAACTGTTGGCTTGCATACGCAGTAGGTCAGCTAGTGACTTGAGAGTCCCAGTGTGACTTGTTTTCCTCATATGGGGGTGTCTGCCAGGTTTACTCTTGTGGATGCTATGTAGCAATACAAGTGAATTTCACTTTGGGTTTCTATTTTCAGGTAAATCTGAAAATCAAGAACTATGAGTAGATAAAAGTGGACCTTTTGAACATATTGGGGGAATATATTAATATAAAACCTCAGTTTCCACATTATGTTGAACAAAATTGATTTTGAAAGAAATAATATTTGCCTATAACTTAAAACATATGCGAACATTTGTTCTTAAAAACAAAAATGGCAATGTGACCCTGCTCAGAGCAATGCATAATTGTTTAACTGTGTCCTTGTACCAGTTTCAGTGTTGGCTTTGCTGTTTAGCTGATTTTAGTACCACTGTCTGGAAACATCACACATTTATTATTATAGAAAAGTCATACCAAGTTTCCAGTTTTTGAAGAAGTTTGTTTATGGATACATCCTATGAAAAGCCAGACTTCCATTTAGAACAAAGTTAGGAACTGCTTTCTGCAGAGTTCTGTTCCTACTGCTGCAGATGAATTCAAGAGGGTAGAGAAAAAGGAAAGAACTCAGAAAACAGGAAAATCTGGAGCACATGTAATAAAAATAGCTAGTTACAGTATGGAGAGATTAGCTAATGTTTCCTCAAATATAAGAAAAGATACTTTAAAATAGGTGAAAGCACATGGAGAGACACGGCCAGCGTTTTTTGTTCACTTTAATTCATGAATTAAATTTAGTTCTATGCTATTTCATTCCTCCCCTCTCCCTTATTTCTCCTTTATTAACCCTTTAAAATTGAACTGGCTTCCTTGACTGAATGCTTTTAGGAACCAAGAAGACATTAACTGGTTGCAGAAAACAGTCTTGCTAGATTTATTCTCTAACTTTTAGTTCCTTGTTTCTCCTTGCTAATCTTTCATTATTGCCCTTATTGTAACCTGTGCATTTCTCTCAAGGTCAGTTATTAACATGCTTGGAACTTACATTCATCCTACCCAGTTTCCTTTTCATTCCTCTGCATAGTGGCTTATTTTGTTTTGTTTTTAAGACAGCAACATCCTTACTCTTCTCAGGGGTGTGGTAAATGACAACTCTCCAGTCTTCCCAGCTGTACTCCATTCTTAAATTGCCTTTGAGATGCAGCTTTGATTGACTGGATGTTCATTTTATTGTCATTGAAAAGTTATGGTGGTTACTTTTACCACTAATGGAATTAATGATGTGTTTTCTTTCAAAGAAATTTGCATCTCTAATCTTAGTGTGCCTTCTTTTTGTACCCTTCTCTTTATTCTCTAGGACTTGGCACAATATGTGAATGAAGTGAAAAGAGATAATGAGACACTTCGTGAAATTAAACAGTTTCAGCTATCTATAGAAAATTTGGTATGTAATTATCCTTCTATCCAGCTTCCCTGCACCCCCAAATCGAAGGGCATTCTAGGAGTTGTTGAAGACAAGATAGTTTACCTTAAAGTTTCTGTTGTTTGAAGTTTTTTCCCCTGATTCTTCTGTTTGGCAGCATTTGCATGGATGTCTGGTGGCGCCTGTGACTTGTCACTATCTGGGGACTTTCTGTCCTTGCTTGTGGCTCTTACCTTAGTCACACTCTTCCTCTTCTCCCAGCATTCTGAATTCTAAACATGGGAGTCCATTTTTCTCCTTTTCCTTCCCTCTCCCCGTGCATATTCCTTTTCACTTATTAATATTACGCATATTTACTGAGTGACTGCTATGCACTAGACACTTTGAGACTGGGACTGTTAACTATGAACAAGATAGTCTCATGATTAGAAGACAGTAAAAAAAAGAGTTAAAAAATGCCACATTGAGATTAGTGCTGAGAATCGGGTGCTATCTGGGAGGATAATAAGAGGAGTACTAGTTCAGATAAGATGGTCAGAAAAAGTCCTTTTGAGTCATTTGAACTGGGGCCTGACAGATCAGAAGCCAGACACACAGAGATCTGGGGGTGGGGGAAGTGATCCAGGCAGAAGCCATTGCAAGTGACGTGACCAGAGATATGCAAGAGCTAGGCGTGTTCAAGATGCTGAAAGGTAACAGTGGCTGGAGTTGAGAGGGAAAGGAAGGGCGGTGGGCCCTGAGGCGTGAGGGGCGGGGCGACTGCATAGGTAGCTTTGTAGACCGAGGCACTGAGATGGTGTTCTATTATGACAGCGGTGGCAAGCTAGAGAAAGGTTTCTGTCAGGGAGTGTTACAGTCTGATGGACATTTCAGGAAGACCCTATAAGCAGAAAGACCAGTCAGCAAGCTTTCGAAGTGGTTTCAAGAGAGGCTGGAGCCCTGGGTTAACAACTGTGGGCAGTGAAAGTAGAGATGAGTGGATTTAAGATATGTTTTTGGTAGAGCAATTTTGTTGCTGCTTTCTCTGAAACTTCGTGAGCCTGTCTCATTCTTTTCACACATACAGCCATGTCCCTGTTTCAAGACACTGTTGCCTGCCATCTTCCCAGTCAGGGTGGCGTCTCATCATCTCTTCACATAGTGGTAGCTCCAAAACGTGCATTTCCCAATTCACCCTCTTCCCCAGACTTGTTAAGGTTTTCCATTGTCTTCAAGATTCCTTACTATGATATTTAAGGCCCTCGATGATCTGGACTTGCACTATTTTTCTAAACTCATTTAGCTAATAACTGTCCACATAGCTTACATCAGGTGTCCTGAAACTACAGCCCGCGGGCCACATGCAGGTGTTTTTGCATGTTTGTTTTTTTACTTCAAAATAAGATATGTGCAGTGTGCATAGGAATTTGTTCATAGTTTTTTTAAAACTATAGTCCGGCCCTCCAATGGTCTGAGGGACAGTGAACTGGACCCCTGTTTAAAACGTTAGAGGACCCCTGGCTTACATTGTGGATATTCCTCTGTATTATAAGGTCTCTGATTTGTTGTACATTTTTATAGTTCTGCCTTTGATCATAATCTTCTCAGAGCCTAGAATGTCTTTTCCCATTATTCCCTATCAAATTTCTTCAAGGTCCAACTAAAATAAATCCCTTTTCCTAATCTCCCATCATTCCTTCCTCTTTGGAATTCCATAGCATATTGCCTGCATGGCTGTGTAGCATTTAAAAAAATTGTGGTAAAGTAACCTTAAATTTACTATCTTAACCATCTTTAAATTGTAGTTCTGTGGCACTAAGTACCTTCACAGTCTTGTATAAACTCTCCCCACTGCCCATCTCTAAAACTCTTCATCTTGTAACCTACTCTGTACTCATTAAGCATGAACTTTCCATCCCTTCTTTCCCTGGCCCCTGGCAATTATCATTCTACTTTTTGTCTCTATAAATTTGACTACACTGGGTACCTCATATGAGTGGAATCATATAATATTTGTCCTTTTTTGTCACTGGCTTATATTGTAGGTAGCATAATGTTTTCAAGGTTCATCCATCTTGTATTACGTGTCAGAATTTTCTTTTATTTTTTCTTTTTGGCATATCTGTTCATTTCAGGTCTGCTAATATATCATTGTATATGTATAATTCACATTTTCTTTATCTAATCATTCATTGGTGAACATTTGGGTTGCTTCCCTCTTTCGGTTATCATGAATGATACTGCTCTTAATGTGAGTGAGTGTACCAATATCCATTCCAGTGCCTGCTTTCACTTCTTTTGGTTAATATGCCCAGAAGTGGAATTTCTGGGTTGTGTGGTAGGTAATTCTATGTTTAATTTTTTGAAAAATTGCTATAATTTTCCACAACAGCTGTACCATTTTATATTCTTACTAGCAATGCAAAAGGGTTCTAATTTTTTCATATATCCTCACCAACACTTGCTATTTTGTTTGTTTTCATAGTAGCCATCCTAATTGTTGTGAAGAGATATCTCTTTGTGATTTTGGTTTGCATTTTCTAGTGATTAATGATGCTGAACATCTTTTTCCTGTGTTTATGAGCCATTTGTATATCATTAGAGAAGTGTCTATTCAAGTGCTTTGCCCATTTTTTATTCAAGTTGTTTGTTTTTTGTCATTGAGTTGTAGGAGTTCTTTATATATATCCTGAATATCATTCCCTTATCACACATGGTTTGCAAATACTTTCTTTAGTGGGTAGCATTTTCACTTTGTTGATAGTGTCCTTGATGCACAAAAGTTCTTAATTTTGATGAAGTGCAATTTATCAATCTTTTGTTGCCTGTGCACTTGGTGTTATTGAAAAAGTCATTGCTAAATCCAGTGTCATAAAACTTTTCTCCTGTTTTCTTCTAAGAGTTTTATAGTCTTAGCTCTTACATTTAGGTCTTTGAAACATTTTGAATTAATCTTTGTATATGGTGTAAGGTAACTTCATTCTTTTGCATGTGGATATCCAGTTTTCCTAGTACCATTTGTTGAAAAGCTGTCCTTGCCCCATTGAATGGTCCTGGCAATCTTGTTGAAAATCATTTGACCATATATGTGAGGACTTATTTCTGGGCTGTTTACTATTCTATTGGTCTAAATGTCTGTGTTTATGCCAGTGCCACGCTGTTTTGATTATTTTAACTTTGTGATAAGTCCTGAAATCAAGTCAGGAAGTGTGAGACCTCCAACTTTGTTCTTTTTAAAGGTTGTTTTGACTGTTTAGGATCCCTTGAGATTCTGTGTGAAATGGATGCACAAAATGATGCACAAAAACATCATTGGGATATTGGTAGGGAACATTTATTTTTATACTTTCTCATTACAGAGTTAAGCACACATCTGTGTCCTTTTTTGGAAAGGACTTTCTAGATGTTAGTGATAATTTTCAGTCAATTCTTTTCTCCCTTAGAATGTACAATAAGTGCTCATAAATACTTTAAAAATGTGATTGCCTCTGGGGAAATAGTTCATTATTTTTAATCATTAAGTCAGAACATCCCTGGCTCTGTAGACCAATACAGGTTCCCCTTCCTGTACTCTTCCTTCATGGCAATCGTGCCTTTGTAACTATATGCTTCTGTGGATATTTGTTCCTTCACTGGGCAGTATGTTCCATGAGGGCAGAGTCTATATCATTTTGCCCTGCACATACAATAGTGGCTGCTATGCAGTAGATGCTCAACAAATGTTAGTTGCTGGAACTTTCTTGTGATTTGGATTCTTACAGGCAATTTTCTCTTTTCATAGCTCACTTCCTTTTTAAGATTATAAACAAATTAATTCATATTCTCAATACCCCTTGGGATTACAAAGGACAGACTGTTTTTGAAGATGTATCATGTAGACATGAGCTTTTTATAGTAAGTGTGCTGGAAAAAAAATGTAAAAGTGATAAAATTTATAAAGTAATAACATAGTTGTCCTGAGCAATTACATATGCTAATATTTATTTCTATTTTTATGTGATTATGAAAAACTCAGTTGTGTACATTTTATGTTTTAGAACCAACCAGTTTTGCTTTTTGGACGACCTCAGGGAGATGGTGAAATTCGAATAACCACTTTAGACAAGCATACAAAACAAGAAAGGTGAGAAAAGAGGACCAATACTGATTTTCAAAATAAGTAATTAGTATCAGAAGATTGAAAGAAGCTTAAAAACAATTCCTCTAGGACAAAGAAGAGGAAAAAGAGAAAGAAAAACAGAAGGACAAACCAACCCATAATTTCTAAAATTTTCTAATATAGGTATCTTAGGTATTCCCCTGTACTGGTATCTGTTAATTTGTCCAAATTCTTAGGAAGAAAATAACAAATATAGAAGATCATCTAGGGTAAAAGAGTACACAATTAAGTGAGGAAAGAGAAACAGATAACTACCATAAAAACATAATTGATTTTTTAGAACGTATTTTAAAATAACTAGAAATAATAGAAAAACTTTCTAAGAAAGAATACTAGATGAGGACCATGTAGGATATGTTCTTGAGAGAAATTGGTAGGTGGAGTCCTTGGAGATTAGTAAGGTTGGCCTGGAGTCCTTAATTATCTATATATGTGATTGTCAAACTAACTGATGCTTTTGTGGTTCCTTTGGCCACCTTCTGGAATCTTTGGAGAAGAGAAAATGAGCCAGCAGAGGGCAGCATCAGCTTTTGCTTCCACATTGATACCCTGGCTCCACAGGTAGCTCGCAGGACCACATAGCCCTTAAACAATACTCTGGGAGAAACAGACTTTAAAACTGATGCAAGTATCATAGCTCTGTGAATGTATCATTATCATTGTGTAAAAAATGTGTTTTAATTACTGAGAGTTTATGAAATTATACAGGTATTGGTATTGGATGATAGGGTTATAAGGGTTTGTTTTCTCCTCAAAATTATATTGTTTTTAATAATAAAAAAATATTAACATGAAAATTTCACCAGTTTACATTTATAGATTACAGTTTGCTCATACACACACCATTCTATTTGTGTTTCAGGTGGTCCATTAAATCATGAGGCATAACATGGAAGTTAAAAGCACAGTTTCCAAAAATTATACCTGCTTGCGAATCCTGCTCTGTGCCTCACTGGTAGTGTGGCCTTGAAGAAATTATCTAACTTCTCTAAGCCTCAGTTTCCTCCCCAGTAAAATTAAGATGCTAATAGTACCTACGCAGCAGCAGGTCCAAGGGATTTAAATTGAGTCATGTTTATAGAAGTGATGAATATCACTTCTCAAGGAATTCCAGCTGATTCCTTGTAACTTCAGTAGATGTTAGCTATATTGTTGTAATTAATATTGTTCTATAAGTTTTCAGCTTTTAAATTGAAAAAGAAAGTAATTGCTCATGGACAAGCTTTATGGCTTATCTTGATTGGTCCTTTAATCAACTTTGCAGTGTGTGTATTGCTTTTAATGTGATTTTGCCATTTTAAAATGAGGGAACTGAGGTACAGTGAAGACATTTACATGGTAAAGGGTAGTGTCAGGATACAGACTGTTCTTATGACATCACATTCCTCATTGTTTTTAATGTGTAACACTGCCTGTCATCTTTAATGCAAAGGAAAAACACTTGGTTGGTTTAATTAAATCTTACTGGGAAAAGAATTAATGCACATGCTTCTAAACCATTTAAAATGAAATCAATCACTCTCTCTTTTTCACAGGCATATCTTCTTGTTTGATTTGGCAGTTATTGTATGTAAAAGGAAAGGTGATAACTATGAAATGAAGGAAATAATAGATCTTCAGCAGTACAAGATAGCCAACAATCCTACAACTGATAAAGAAAATAAAAAGGTGACTTCTTGGAAATTAATAACTGCAATTTACTCATAACTTTGAATATTCAGGAAAAGTATGCCAATACATTAATTGAGATGTGGCTTACCATCCAGATGTTTTTGTTTCTAGAGATTGATTAGGTGCATGTCTGTGTGAGAAATAACTGCACAATGCCACAGCTGATTTGATCATTTCTAATGCCCTAATGATCAAGATAGTAACATACATTTGGCATAGAAATTGTCATGGATATGAAGTTGACTACAATAATAAGTTTACTTGTTTAGTTTGTACATGGATAATGTTTTAAAGGGTTTTTGGATAGTTGTAGTGGTATTGAATTGGAAACATGATGTTATTAATAAATGATACACATTAACCAAAGAATATTAATTTTAACAGTGGTCTTATGGCTTCTACCTCATCCATACCCAAGGACAAAATGGGTTAGAATTTTATTGCAAAACAAAAGATTTAAAGAAAAAATGGCTGGAACAGTTTGAAATGGCTTTGTGAGTATTTCTACTTCTAAAAGTGCTTTTTTCCCTACTACTTAAAACACTTATGAATAATGAACAACAGATAAATGTACTCTAATGCTTGCACAATGTGTATAGAGGCTGGGGAAACACTTTGCTCTGAGCGTGAGTGCTACTAGGCTGTCTGCTTGATAATTTTGGTCTCTGAGGAGTCCTCTTGGAGAAGTTTTGGTGAATTTCTTCAAAAAGAAGAAAGAGGGAGCTCTAGTCTTCTGTTTGACTTTCTTCTCATAGGATTATGTTGGTGGTTTAGTTTTTAGCAGCCTGAGAAAATATTAATTATTCTCATAAACTTTTAATGTGATTACTGTTTTTAAATATATGTCTTTAAATTAAATGGAAATACCCCCCCTTTGCATACATGCACAAATAGATGCATATATGCATTTATCTTATTTTTAATAAAATGATTGATTTTTCTCTCTACTTTTAATTCATTTTGTTTGAATCCTGGCTGAAATGCTTAGTATATTCAAGGAATGATTTAAGGGCTTGATTTCTTTCAGTGTTCTTTACTTTTATTGAAGAGGAAACTCAACAAAGAGGTGGGAAATAAATCAGACCTGTTTCAAAAGGAATGGTATATAGAGATGTAATTACCCAAGAACATGTCTTTATAGGAGTTTCTTTTTAGTTTTGATATCTATGGATTAAAAGGTGCATAATGACCCGTTTTTGGGAATCACATAGATTACCCTGAAATAAACAGTTGGCGAAAGGTGAAATTAAAGGGAACCACTTTTGTGATTTGTTTCATTTGTGTTCTAGCATTACTTACCATTTGTTGCCAAATTCTATCAGTTTTTTTAAATTTTACTTTATTTTAAGAAATGCTCATGTTAATACAAACTTGAGGCAGAATTAGAGTGTTTTACTGTAGCTCTGAAAAGAGGAAAATAAAGGTTCTCTTAAGATTATCTTATTTACCATTTTGAGAGATAGGATTGTATACCCAAAATATTTTTACGCTTCTAGACCATTCTTGGTTCAGCTATAATCACTACTGTGAATTGGCTGCACAGTCTTAATTAAGTTACTTAACCTCTCATAGCCTCAGCTTCCTCATTTATAAAATAAGGATGATCTTTTTTAAAATTCCAGACAATGTGTCAGTAGAATACTAGTCAAATAGTACAATAGCAATCATATGCTATTGAGTAACAGGTGATGTCCATTGTTATTACTATTAATATCATTTTGTATTTAGGATGCTAGTATACTTATAGGTACTTATAAAACTAGAGAGCATCTTCCAATACACTGTTATAGTTCATATAATTTATTGATTATAATAATTAAACAAGAGGTTAGTACATTTAATGCAGTAGCTATACCACAGGGACCCACTTGGTTTTGGGGCACAAGTGAGGGAATTGGTGACCTCTGCCTGTCTCTGATTAATAGCAGGCTACATCATAAAGCTAGGGGTTTAGACATCAGGAGTTGAGCAGTTGAAATTGAACTGAGAGGATGCTGGGATTAGTGGTAATGTGCAAAGGCAGAGCTGATCTCAAGCCTTTGCTCTTGTGGGCAGGATGCTAGGCTAGTATTTTTCTGATGGGTTCTATGTGGCTATATAATCTTTAGATGAGTAAAGGAATTTCTGCAGAAGAGGAAAGTTGAATTTCATGTCCCAGAGCAGGCAGCCTCCTTGGACTGTATGATAGACATACTGGTGACTGTTTTGTTCAGTTGCTGTAATCTAATAAAAGAAAACTAAGAAATGGCAGTGCATGAAAAACAGCAAGCTTTGTGTGTCTCCACAGAATGGCTTCTTCTCAGTGTTTTTAGTGTTAAGATGGGTCTCTTGAGTTCTTCTAGAGCACTCTGGACTACTGCTTTAATGAATTCTGAAAAGGAAAGGGAGGCATTGGTGGGAGGGTGGTGGAAATTCAAAGGAGCTGATATTTTTAAGACTGATGAAATGCTTTTCAGTTCTATTTACAGAAGATGACCTGCTGTTTATGGAATGACTGGATCACTTATTTAAAATAATTGCAACTCACCTTTAAGATACTTAAAATATTGCTCTTAATTTAGAACATTTAAAAAAACCATAGAAAAGCATGAATACCAGTAAATAATAAATATCCAGTGAACACAAATCATCTCCCCAGAGGTAACCTGAATCTCAGCCTCTGTCTTGCCTAAGCACATCCCCGTCCATGCTCGGGAGTCATGTTCTCTGGCCTTCTTTGGCCATAACCACTTCCAGCATTTAAATACGCAGTGAATCACATCAGAACTTGGCAAATGTCTGTAGGAAAGGCGGAACAAAGAGAAAAGCAGCAGTGACCCACTTGGATAGAACAGGAAGGATTTTTTTTTTTTCTTTTTTCTTATGAGAAGAAGTGGCAGGGCTGATTGCTCCTGAGGTTGTTGGAACAATTATTGAGCCAAAGAATGTTCGTATGCTGTAGTTCTGGGGACCATACTCTAAAGAATATATTTAAATCTTTAGGAGGCTGATTGATATGCATTGCTTACTTTTATTTATTCCAAGAGGGCTTTTTGTCACTAACTGTCTCTCACAATTCCATTTAGTCATCTGTGAAATAGGATGGCAAATATTTTTATCGGGTTAAGCTGGTTTTCATAATGATGCTGGAAAATGTGGATTCGAGTGCCTATAGCAACGTTCAAAATGTCGTTATGAAGCTATGGATATGTTTTACTCAAATCCATTATATCCATTGTGCTTTTATGAATTCTTCTGTTAGATATAAATTAATAAACCTTGTCACGCCCATTTTATAGCTCAGGCAACTAGCAATCATGGGAGCATTTCAGGAAATTCATATAAGTTTGATGCTATGTAGAGTTGATGATCTCAGTTCACAAGATTTTTTTTAGCCATGAGGGTGCTCAAATAAGCAACTGGACTCAGATCTTCTTATCTAAAATTGGAGTCAGGGGTTTTTCTTTGCGTCCCCCCCACCTGTTAATAGGACCCTAGGGATCAGATAGTTTCCTTAAATTTCCCAGGAATAAGTCAAAACTGGGTACAATATAAAATAAGTAGAATAAGGAGGGTTTTTAAAAGGAGAGTTAGGGAAAAAAGGTAAAATATGAGGAGAAAAAAAGCTTTGCACATGGTAGAAATTGGTAGATTCAGAATCAGCCTCTGTAGTGTGTATTGAAGAGAAAATGAAAGGCCCTCGTGGCCTGGAATTTCTTTTGACCGACCTGACCCAATTCTTGAAATTCTAACAATTCACATTTACTCCCTTGAATGAAGAAAGCCCCTTTGAAGATGCGTGTACCGTTATTACTGCCACTATCTAAGATTTCTTAACTGTGTAATGTTATGCCATGCTGAGTGGTACATGGATTACCTAAGGAAAAACAGCATAGAGGTCAGTCATGTCTCCTGAAATATTAGCTCAGGATATTTATATGTTAAACACGAGGCTAATGGGGTAGCGTGGAGAAGAGAATGGGATTGGGGGATGGAGATTCTGGAGCTCATGCTAGTTACCTGGAGGCTGCCCCTGAGCTCTGTGCCTCCCAGGATGGGCCTCTGCAAAGCAGCTGCCCTGGTGGGATGCCGTGGGGAGTGGGATATCTAGCCATTAAGCTCCACGAATCGCATTTAATCTGAGGCATAGTGTTTCTTCCTAATTTATTCCCCATCTACTTCCAGAAGGAATTTGAAATCACTCACAATAAAAAGCACACATGCCGCAGAATTAAAAAGAATAATTTAAATAATCAGAGGTCAAAGAGAACAGTGTTTCCAACATTTTCTTCAAACTCAGCCTCCACTACATAAGAACATTCTCTTGAAATTTTACTTTCTGTGGTTTGTATGCTAAAAACAATAGGCATGTTTTTCACGTTTCAGATATAAAATTATTTCATCAAACATAATTTGTTTTAATCTAAAGATATTGCTCAGATATTCTGAATACCAGAGAGATAATTGCCAGAGGAAATTTTATTCATTCTGCAAATATTTATTGAGCACTTGCCTTGTTGCCAGACACTATTGGAAGCCCCGGGCATGTAACAATGAGGGAGCCGTTGCAATTGAATTTAAATATTATTATTTCTAAATAGATTAATATTCAGTTAACATATAATGGATTAGATTTCAGGACTGAACTCTTGATAGTTCTAGCCAAACCATCTCTCCCTCCCACCCCATTTACTGAAAAATCAATAGATGGAGGCCCAAGAATTGCCCTTGACATAGCCCCTTTCCTGCGCATGTAATCAATCTCTCACCAGTCTCTGCAGATTAAGTATAAGCACTTGCCTGTATCTCCACTGCACCCCCTGGTTTAAGCCTTCTGCATCTCTAACTAGCTTCTGCATTCCCTGCTTCCTCCCGACCAGTCCATTCTTCACCAAGTATCGGAGTGATCTGATTGTGTTCTGCCCTACTTACAACCCTTTGTCGGGTATTTATTGTACTTGATATAATATCAAAATTCTTACCAGGATGGAAGAAAACCCTGCATGATTTTATCCCACACATCTTTCCAGCGACATCTCACATCAGTTTTCCCTGTGCTCATTTTGCTCTAGTTAGATTGTATATTTCAGTTCCTGGAGAATGCCCAGGCCTCAGCCTTCACACATGAGCTTTCCCTGCCTGGGATGGTCTTTTCTCTTGTTGTTTGGATTGCTGGTTCTGTACCTACATGCCTTGGCTTTAAATGTTACTTTGTGAGGGAGGTCTCTCCTGACCCCTGTGCTAAATGAGCAACCCCACATCCCCATTATTCTTTCACAATTATAATTGTATTGCCAGAGAAAAGTCATTCAGGCATTGTGTTTTCAGCAAATCCTCTGATAGAGAGACGCTGTTAATTCACTTGTCTGCTCAGTTTTATTAATACCTCTTTTTTCTTCTCCTAAAGAGTATGGATTTTGGGCTGGGTGTGGTGGCTCAGGCCTGTAACCCTAGTACTTTGGGAGGCCAAGATGGGAGGATCGCCTGAGACTAGGAGTTCGAGACCAGCCTGAGC